ATATATATATATATATATATATATATATATAAATCCTTTCATAATAACCAGAATATTACAGTAAAATAGATATATTTAGAAAGGTATTAATTAGATTATTGTTTCTGTTTAACATTTTAGAGTAGAGCTGTATTTATACAGTGTCAAAATTAATTTAATACAAATTTACCATTTTTTAAAAAGACCATCAAAAGTAATTTATCATATCAAAAAAGTAAATTATATCGTTTTTACGCATTTTCGAGAATAAACGTGACAAAAACCATTAACAACCATTTTTGGATTATATGTTACAAACACCCTTCCCCCCGGAAGGATTCATCATGCTGGATGAGGCTTGCACCATCATTCAGACGCTATAAAGATAGACTTTGATACCATTTGTAATGTCCCAAAACCCAAAGCAACAAACTGACCAATAACCTTCACAAATTTGCTATGGTAGAAGTTATTGATAACCTACAACTTTAAAATTATAAAAAGCTCATAAATCTACTGAGATTTTTATTACAACATGGGTTACTAAAACTCCATCGATTGTAAAAAAAGAATCCGACAATATATAAGTTGAATAAAATAAAAACCTAAAACTTCCATCAAATCAGTTCTTTATTTGCTATTAACATTATGCACTAAAATTAACTTCTGGCCTTATTTTTGGGTCGTATTGGATATGATAAGACTGGACAAAACTTTATTACGTAATTTTGATTGCTAATACTCTATTTTATATACTTTGAACATAATCGTAAGAGAATGTGTTTTTATATGCTCAAAGAAAATGATATGTTAATATGAATTTTAAACTACCATTTTCAGAAAGGGCTTAAATATTAAAATAAAAAATTTAGGTTTTTTGGTTTGACTCTGGTTTGAAATTAAGAGACAGTATCCGAATCGATAAGAGGTAAATCTTGTTTGGTAAAAAAATATCCCTTTTGATGATTCTAAAACCATCTTAATGATTTTGTATCTTAAGTTTCTCTAAACCATTCAGAACTCTAATTTCATTATGAACAATTACCAAACAACCATATATTATTTTACACTGTATTATAATAACCTCTTAATCAATTTTACCACTTAATATCAAACAACTTTTTAATATCAAGGATTGTGATGTGTTTTTGTGTCCTCCAATTTGGAGTTAAAAAAAAATGGATTAAAAAAATATTATTTTTATAAATATAACCTTTAAAAATATATTATTTATAACAAATGACTGAAAATTTTATAATAATTTTTTAGATGAATTTAATTTCTCCCGTTACTTATTTTCCTTTCCGCCACTTTTTTTTATATCCCTTCTTTTACGTAGTGATAAGCATAGACGGGTATTCGTCTTATTTGACGATTACCTGAATTGGAACAGGCAGTTTTTGAGATATTGGAGCCGAAACCGGTTAGAGCGGTTCTTGAATATTTGGAACGAGAACCGGTTCCGCTTCCGGTTCCGGATACCCGCTTCATAAAATATTAAAATTTTGTTATTTAGAAATAAAAAATAAAACATGCCAAAACACTAAATAAATAAACAAGAATACAAATTATACGGAATAATGGTTACAAATATTGTTTAACGATTACAAACCATAATAGACTAATAGTAAATGTTGAAAGTTTAATAATTACATAATACATACTATAATAGTAAATGTTCAATATCATATACTACGAATCCAATTAAACACACAATTTGAAAAAATACTAATCATTTTATCTCAAATTATGAATCTTGTTTCAACTTCTTGCATACCCATCGCATCCTCAACCTTGTACGGTACCTGTGAATAATTGAGTGTTAAAAAAACTACACAAACTCATAAAAAATTGCACATATTTTTAATAAAAAACTAAACAAATTTTATATAACAAAAACTGCACAAACTTCGTATAAAAAACTGCACATATTTTTTTATATAAAAAACTGCACAAGCCTGAGAGTATGAGTCGTGAGACAGAGATTCGGCGTGACTGCGATAATTCGATGAAGACGGTCTGTGAGAGACCTCAAGCCTGAGAGTATGAGTCGATGAGGCATAGAGGTGGGACCAAAAATCTAATCTAGAGTTATAAGTTCTTGACCTAATTTAAATTTAGTATTACAAAAATTAATTATTATTTTTAATTGAAAAATACCGGGTACCCGGTCCCGGAACCGGTCCCGGTGGGTAACGGTTTCGAAAAATTGAGAACCGAAACCAGAACCATTCTCAATCGGTTCCGTATTTTAGAAACCGGAACCGAGACCACTCATATCGGTTCCGGTTCCGAAACCGGCAGTTCCAAGACAGTTCCAGTTCCGCAAGTGGGTACCCGGTTTCGCTGCTCACCCTACTTTTAGGGGTGTTTGGGATTGCTTATAAAAATAACTTATTGACTTATTCCGATGTGATACTGGTAATAAACATTTTTGAATGTTTGGATAAACAGTTTATATCGGTGCCAAACCGTGAAACCGGTAATAAGAATTTTTTAAAGAAGTTAAACTATTATAAGTTATAATAAATTGATAAACACTTTTGTAAAAAATAATATAAGTTGTTTCAAATAAACAATCCCAAACACCATTCATTGAAGTTTACTCATCGTTGTGGTTTCAGAAGCCACAATGTTGAATTGCTACCAATGTTCAATCAGTACCTTTTTGGATTCTTGAAATTTATTAATCGTTATGGTTTCAGAAGCCAAAATGTTGAATTGCTACCGATGTCAATGAATGTGAGGAATTATTGAAGGATTTGATGCTATGAAGGTAAGCCAGCTTTAATTTCGCTGATTTTAATCTTGGATTTTGAAATGGGTGCAATATCAGTTTATCTAGGTTTAGGGTTTTGGAGTTGACTCAACATGGTAATTATTTCCCTAACCGACTTGTGTTCTTTATGGCTTTTTCAAATTCGGTCGTTGGTGAAGGTGGTGGTGACTTGAAGGTATTGAATTATGAATTTGGAATTTGTGGTAACATAGAGAATTCAAGTATGTAATAGGTATGGTATCTGTAGTTTTAAATCCAATGTGTTGATAGGTTATGGTGAGATTTTGTTGAATTTAACATGACAAAAACAATCCGTAAAATAACTTCTAGGGTTATAACTTAAAAATCATATTCCAATGCCAAAAATAAAAAAAACAGTCTATATATGACACAAGACTTTGTAACTCCATCATCCTCTGCACTTTTTCTTGTGACAATGTTGATTCAGTTAGTTCTGTAAATTAAATATTGTTAGAATCTATTATCCTTCCAAGTTTTAGCAGGATCCATATAGAAGCTATACTGTATCTTCTATATAAACAGAAATTAAATCCCGATCATGTAGAATGATATGCTCTGGGAAATTTGGTTTTTATGTTGAGAAAGGCTTTCTGATGTCGTTTGTTCAAGATAAAATATTTGACATGGGGGGATGTGATAAGGAGAGATTGTAAGGCTGGAGTATACCAAAGAATATGACCTTAAATAGGTGTGTGTGTGTGGAAGGACTTCACTTATTTCCCAGAACACTTCATATATGAATAATCCGATGCTAAGTAAATATTTTCTTCATGTGGCGTTCTTTCTTTTGTTTTTAAAAGATGCCTCAATGAGAACATGGATGATTAGTGTCTTGATTAACTGAACATAGTCACTTGTGGTTGTTTTGTTTTTTAAGGAAGCTCTTCTTAATTGCAGCATTCATGTAGGATAATTTGTTTCCATTTACTCAAAAGTAGTATTAGTTGGTAATTACATTGATAGTTTGATGCAGCATCATTTGTTTCCATTTCATTATTAATTAAAATTGGTTCTCCATTCATTGTTGGAGGTTCTTTTTCCTTCTTATTAAATAACCATGGTATCTGGCACCTTTGGGTAATTAGTCCATGGGATCCTTGACAGCACAAACTCTAGGATTTCTAGCAACATGTCCCCTAATGAGTTGGTATACATTGTGGGAGTTCGTAGTTTCTATGTGGAGCTGTGTCAACAAAAAGATGTTTGTTATTTTGTCGAAATATAATATCTATGCTATTATAGGGCCTGCCAACATGTCTAGGATACTGAAATGATAATTTGAATCCATAATCTTTGCTATGCAAAATTCTCTTTGACCTACTGTTCATTTTTACATCAAGGGTTGTGAGTTTTAGTTCAAGAAGTTTTAGTACAATATAATCTGATAGAATTGTTGAGGGGTTGAGTCGTATAATTTGAAGCTTATCTTGAGTAAAGGGAAACCATCATCTTGTGTTTGATGATGTATAAACTCCCATAGTTGGTTTCAACCTTATTTCTCTCATTTTCCTTGCAACTGTTACTGGTTACTGCATTTACCGTCTTTATTGCCTGCTTTCACACTCTTCATTTTCACAATTGCGTAATTTTTTTTTGTCAAACTCTTTGTTTCTCTTGTCTTTGCAAAACTTTTCCGCAAGCTGACGGGGTTCTTCATGGATACACCATCTCTTGGGGTAGATGAAAGGTCCGCGTACACCCCAACCCCTTACTTTCGACTGGGATATACTGTGTAGGTTTTCTTTAGTGTGAGCAAGAACCCAATATATATATATATATATATATATATATATATATATATATACTAATTTGGTAATAACTAGCATCACATATCGGACCACACCCGTATAATCATTTGTCCAAGTTCAGTGAACCTAGGGCTATAAGGGTAAGGAGAAATATAATTATGTATACGCAGCCCAAAATCAAACATTGGATCTTCAATACACAGCCCAAAATCGAACATTGAAGGCTAATTCTATTGGATTAGGGCTCCATATCACTCCTTTTCAGCTCATGTGTCATGATATATAAGCTTCATCTTGCCGCTCACAAAGGCACGCTCCAAACTCGAACTCCCTTTCTGCATTTTGTACCTTCCATGTGTGAACAGACGAGTTGCCTAGGCATCAGTGTATCTATATCCTGAAGACCTTTGGATCTTTGGCAAGTTTCTTCCAGCTAGGTGAGGTCTACCCAAGCTGTCCCACAACACAAAATAATGCGGAAAAGAGCAAGAAGGGTTAAAGATAGGGCCAGGGAAATGCTGAATGATGATGATCGCATCAGCCGTTTGCCCAACGATGTTATTCATCACATTTTTTCATTCATAGATACTAGATTTGTTGTTCAAAGTAGTCTTCTATCAAGCAGGTGGATAAATACATGGAAATCCCATCCCCGTCTGAACTTTGAGATCGACCGCTCCTCCAATCACACAAGCGGCTCTAGATTTCCCAATTTTGTGCATCGGTTTCTTTCTGCTCGTGATGACAATGCAGAAATTTCTACCATCGATTTCCGATCAAACTCTATTAGGCTTCCGCTCCTCAAAGAGATCATAATCTATGCAATGTCACATAAGACTCGAAAGATAAACATTGAATTCTTGCGAGGTGGACACACAAGACGCGGTGGTATTGATATATCTTTATTTAGATCTCAATTTCTTCAACACCTCTATTTGGGCATTGATTTTGGGGTTTTCATAACTCCAACTCTGAACTGGGATTTGCCTGCTCTGACTACTTTGAATCTTGATGGTGTTACATTTACACTGGATCTTCCTAATGATGGTGCTCGTAAGTCCGTTGAGTTATTTTCTCGCTTTTCAAATTTAAAAACCCTTGTCTTGATTGATTGTCGGTTCGCAAATATTGATCAATTTGTTATCATGTCAAATGGGTTAGAGAGTCTTTCCATGTTAGATCTGCATCATACAGATTCCTTTGTGATCTCAGCACCAAAACTCTCATCTTTCACTTATAATGGCATGGCTCGGTTTTCATTATTAGCTAAGGGTCTTCATTCATTAGAGAAAGTCAACTTTCACACATTCTATCATAAATCTCTGCAAAAGCAACCAGAGCTTGTGGAATTGATGATCAACACCTTCCATCAACTGTTTAAGGCAAAGTTTCTTAGCTTAAACTCAGATGCCTTGAAGTTTCTTTCGGAGTTCCCGGAATTACTTGAAAGAGAGCCCTGCCCTTTTATGAACTTGCAAAGTTTGACATTGGTTGAACACCAACTACCTCTCCCCTCGATTGTATATGTTGATGTTCTCACTTATTTCCAAAACAGCTCTCCAGCTCTTAAAGTGAATTTTGAATTAGATCGAGCACCACATTGCGTGCGCTGCGTGGACGGCCATTAGTGATTTGATTGTTAGCCTGCATCATGATAAATCATTGTCAGGTAAGGTCAGTCTAAGTTCTTTTACTTATTCTTGTTAAACTTTATGTTGAGCTATTCTTAAATTTACAACTGTTATTGTCATCTACTATGAGTAAGAATGCTATATTATCTTCATTGATATTGGATCATTGTAGTATACAGGTCAACATCTTCTGTTTATTTGGAATAAATATCGCCTTGATTAATACATCTTATTTGTTGGTTTTCCCTGTTTTCTCATTCCATCCCTGCCAAAATAGATGCAATGTTAACTGACTGCTTGGTCTAATGAAATTTCTAATTTGTGGTTTTTAAATTGTGTCATTCCATTGTTAAATAAGAGAGTATACATAATATAATTCATGGACCCTTTTGGTCGGCTTAGAGAATAAAAACAAAACCTTAAATCCAACTCTATATAATATATGCATAACGGAAGTTAATATAACTACCACTCCTCAAAATTTGGCATAACTATTGGTCATGCGTAATTTACCATATAGAACTGTCCATATAGATTTCCTCAAAATATCAGCCAACTGATGTTCCGTCCAGATATGAATAGACTAAACAAAAGGATGATCCTTTGAAGTCCCACTGTGAGATGATAATAAACCTCAATATGTTTCGTTCTCTTATGCAAGTCCATAGTTTCTTAGCGATGCACATAGTGGCTGTAACAATAGAGCCTTGTTGTATCACCTGTACAGACACCAAGCTTTGAGAAGCCTCCTAGTCCATGTTATCTCACATGGCATATCGGCTATGGCCCGATACTCTTGCTAGATTGGGATGGGAGACATGGTTTTTACCCTTCCATGAAAGTAGATTACCACGTATAGATACATAATACAATGTGATAGAGTTCCTGGAGAAGGAACAACTTGCTCAGTCTCCATCAACAACCTTCGACTCTTTCTTCTTGACCCATACTCTGTGGCCACATTTAGGTAGAGAATCTACTATTCTTTCTACACCATCCTTAGTGAAGACACCAACACGAAAATGACCATGGCTAGAGTTTAGGATTCTTTAAACTAGAGATGCCTTCGGATACTTCAAAACATGGAGAATGTCACGTGGCCAATACGTGTATATGAAAGGAATGATTATGCTCACCAAACATAAGGTATTTGGGTGTGTGAACATTCAGATAATTGCATTCCCCGATGAATCTTCTATGTCTCTCAGGATTCCTTGTAGGCTTACTGTCATCAAGAAAAAGCTTCCTTGCGGGAAGAGTTGGATAACATAGTGGGCTTGCATCCTAATAATTTACACTGACAAAAGAACTTTAGGACATACTTTTTTTGAGATAAGAGTATCTATTGTCGTGAACGAAATATCTCAATTCCTATGAAGTAGTAAAGACATCTAAGCCAGTAAAATGCTAATGTAGCCCAACTAAATTCTTCAGCTTGGTAATGCATTGATCATCATCCCTTGTGATAGTATTATTGTTGATCCTCTCTCTTAGTGATTTGATGATAATCTCTTTTGCCCTATGCGAAGTATTTATGTTTCTGTTATTTAGTTCCAGCGATCATCACTGAGTCTGTTCAGTGATCGCTGAAGAACTTGTATTGTAAATCCAATCAGCGACAACGATACTTCAAGAAGACAACACTCACACCAAAGAACCTTCAGCGAAAGTCGAAGACTGAAACTGAAGATTAGAGACTGGCGAGCATGTGATCTGAAGCGGTATTCAGTGATTACAAGCCTGTCTACATATGTGTGAAGACTGCCTAAGCCTCAGCGAATGCTGAAGAGACCTTCGGGTTATTCCAGCATTCAGTGATCAAAAGAAGCTTGTTGAGCACGATTGTTGTTGTCCTGTCCTTATACACATAAAGGACAAACCCATACCATTTCTAAACGTTAGTACGGTACGGAGCCGATTAATTGACTCTATTACCCACCAACTTTATGAAAGGATGTCTGCTCATGAATAGGCTTTTGTACTATTCACTGTAGCAAAATACAAGCCTTCCCCTTAAGGTTTGACACACGTTCTAACCCTACCACGTTGCATTAAATGCATATTTAATGCAACGAGTATAAATAGATGTGTTCTATCTCCATGCAGAGACACTCTTACTATAAACCTTACTCTGAGATTTCTTGCGCTTAAGTAAAAGAACACACATCTAAGAACAAATACGCTCATTTTCAAGAGCAAGTTAGAATCATTTTCATTGTATTCTAAACAAGTTTTCTCCTAGAAAGAACTTACTTTCTTCTATTTCTTTAACAATAAATCTTTTCTTATTTGCTAAGATTAAGTGTGTAAACTTTAGATTGTTCAGATAGGTTTTCCTTACCTTATCTTTCCGCAAACAATCTTGTAAAATCTGTATTGATATTCTCTTATCAATATATATTTTAAATTTGAAAATATTGTGTTTGTATTCATCCCCCCTTCTACAAACTGTTATACACATCTTGTAGACCCTAACGGGACCAACAGTTATCAATACATACAACCATAATAATGTATTTATCTTGTTGGTGGTGGAAGAATATCGAGTAATCTTACTTCAAGTCCAGACCAACTTGCTAAAGAGCCTTACAGAACCGTCCAAGCAAAGCTCTAGGCAATTGCTTGATCGCATACAATGGATTATATAACGTACTTAGTCCTTGGAAGCCTCTTCACAAAGTTGATGTCCTTGGAAGCCTCTTCACAAAGTTGATATAGAATACTTCAAGAACACCATTGAGAAATGCATTATTGATACTCAACTGATTTAGAGAACGGTGGTGAATAGTCCTTAGGGTCACATAGATGCGAACATATGATATCTTGGCTACAAGAGGGAGAATCTTCTTAGTCAATACTATAGACTTAAAATACACTTTGGTGATTAGACGAGCTTTGGACCAGTATAGAGAGCCAGGAAGGTGCACTTCACTCCATATACCTACTTAGAACTAATTGAGCACTTTCAGTGAGAAGACATGTTAAAATTCAAGTCTTATTTGTCCTCAGAGCATCCATCACCCTACGTGGGTCATAACCAAAAGAGCCTCTTGTCCGTTCTTCGGGATAAGATAACTATCAATGGTAGAGGTGAAGGCTAAGGAGTCCGGTGTGAGGACAATATAGACTAGGAAATTTTGGTTGGGGTAGTGGGTGTAGGTAAGAATTTCTTTCCTCAAAGCAACATGGAGTAACTAGACAAGGGGCAACAGAGGGTGGTGTAGGATGGGGGCCACGCTGGATATTTGGGTATCAGGCTATGGCTTGGGTCAGGTATAGTATGTTGTGCTTAGGCTTACAGAAGTACCTGGAGGGGCAAAAAGTGTATGTTTCAGAGTGCTGGGAACCGCGTGAACCAATTAATGGATCGGGCTCCGAAACACATGAAATAGGATTAGAGGGGTGTTTGGAGTAGCTCGCTACCATAATATGGGAATATTCAAAAGTAGACTCGGTATCACTAGTAGAAAAAGGAAAATAACACTAAAAATCAAACTCAAACTCCAAAAAGGTAACATCAACTAAAGTAAATAAAATGTAAAGAATGACTGTAACAGAAATAACCCTTGTGGACAAAAAATATCCAATAAACATGCATCTAAAGGACTTAGAATCAAGTTTAGTTCCATGAGGATGCATAGACATAACATGACCAACCAAATTTTTTTGAGAGTGATATGAAATATAGAAGCATAGACTAAGGAGGGAATGCCACTGATACAAACATTGACGGTTAAAACAACAGTCCACAAAATAACGAGGAACAATATAATTGCTACATCCAGCAGATAACGATTTATGTTAGGCAACACTATTCTGCCAAGGTTTATAGGCACGTAAAAGCACATGCCATATTCCTTTTTCAGATATAAGTTGATTAAACTCTATAGTAAGTTATTCTTTGGCAGAATTAGTAGAAAGAGTTCTAATTTTTAACAGCTAATTAAGTGATACATATGCGCAAAATTCAGGGAAAACATAATTGAAGCTCGATATTTTAATATGTAAACCGATGTGGTATGAGGAAGTCATCAATAAAGGTTATGAAATGCTGAAAACTGTTAATAGACTCTTAAGGGGTAAGGCGCCAATACGACATAAATCAGGATAAGCTAACTGAGAACAGGAACAGGCAGTTTGACATGTTCTTAACTTTAGGTGTGACGGATACATGTGTGATTACCAAATTGACATGACAAGACTCACAAGAAAAAATCAACAACATATGAAAATTTTGTTCCAAGTTTCTTCACAATAATAACTCAGGGATGCACTAAGCCCTTTTACCATTGTAACACATAGATTTGCAACTTAAGTCTAGACGCTTCTAATGAATACAGTCCATGGCTTTCATATCTGGTGCCAATCAACTGGCATGCCCCTTAATTAGATTTATTTTGGAAGTGGCATTGTTTTGATCCAGTCTCGTAGAAATAGTTTGAATCAAGGATAAAAATTTACTTCGTTGAAAAAAAATCCAAAATTTAAGGAGTTTTCAAATGCTCAAATAGGCCAAAGATCTTAAAGATAAAGTTCATGTGACTTCTAATGGAAGGATGAAGTTGATCTCAATTATAAATAAAGGATGAAATCAAACGGTTATGATCACTGAAGGAAACTGAGTAGAGTCAGGAAAATCGAAGAAGAAACACTTGGGAGAAAGCCTACTTTACCTCATCATATGAGAGGTAATGTATTTAAGAAGTTCCTTCGTGAGATATTATTTGGTCCCATCACCAACATTCCCCTGTACCCGAGTCTTCCATTTTGGAACGAGTTATTGGGTACAACAGTGCCCTCCATGCCGAGTTCCCAATTATGTCTCCTAGTTCAGGGTCCAAGATCCAGCTCCTTCCACTTCTTGGATCCAGCTAGGTATCACCCTTGAAAGAGCCTTAAAACTTTCTTCTCTAGTTACTCTAAATATTACACATGCAGCCAAGTTCTCCTTGCCATGCTTATAGACCATTTCATAGCCTAGCCCCATTTCATGATAA